ACCAATTGGCCGGGGTCACCAAGTATCCTTTCCTTATAAGTTATATGGTAGAATCTTAGAGTCTTAGAATTCACTATTTCTCCGGACTTATATGCCCGATTCCAGCTTCATTTGGTCAGATACGAGAAACCGCTTTAGAAGCTACCTGCCCTTTTTACTCTGCTCTTCTGGAACCGCGATGCTCATTCTAGCTGTGATATATGATCTGAGATACACGAGCGATTATGGTTATCATGCAAATACTAAAATGAAAAGAGGCTTTCAACAGATTGAGTTTCAATTTTTCCCGCGAGTTTCAGGCAACTATGCACGTCCTCGAGCACATGCGCAGCAAAACTACAACATAAGTCCCAGCATGCCGCAACCCGACGTGTATTACTTTACAGATTTTGAGCATTTGCTCAGATCGGCACTATTGAATGAATCAAGAGAAAAATCTGCTTTTTGTCAGCACGTTTGATCCACTCTCCTCTTCAAAGTTCTCAACATGCTTGTCTTTCTCAATTATACATATTTATTTGTGCATGTATGGCATTGCAGGCTTATTGCGTTTCTTAAATTACAAGGAAGCCCAAGAAATAAATTACAAAGGGATAAAAAAATAACTAACAACTACAAAACACTGCGTGGCATCGTTTCCCCTTCAAAAGTTGTTACTATTGGGATTGTGCCTAGTGAAGAAACACAAGACTTGAGCGGTATAGGTTTTGCGAAGGAACCCGCATCCAAAATATCTCATCCGCAATAGTCGTGATTTTCGTTCCTGAAAAAGCGAAAAATCATACAAATATCAAGATTTGTTGGAAGTGTTGCACATTGCAGGATTTTGTAGTGAGATTAGCTTGCAAAGTGTCATGCTGGAGAAAATGTGGCATCTGGGATTTATGATTCAGGATAAGCTATTGTAGGATAAGAGACCAGGCTGCAAGTGGGAACTAATTTTGCTATCATCATTCATTCCCTTCCTCCAAATCAGCTGTTTCCGTTTTAGGACACTACTGGTTCAATATTTGCACTCTGCTTTCGATTTGAATAGGACTCTTTCGCACCTATACCGAATAAAGCTTTAACATGCGCCAATACAACACAATTTAGACTTTTTACATTCGGATAGAATACTAGTTTTTCAGATGTTTTCTCAACTTCTCGTACGCAAGCGGAAAATTCTCCTGGTTTTAGTACTTAGAACTTGCTAAATCGTAGGAAGTCTATATTTTGATGCTACGACAAAAAGGGACCATGAAAGCTATATCGCAATCGTATGCAGCATCTTACAAACTAACTTTTTAGAATAAAATACCACGTCTTAAAATTTCACCACGTCTTTGTCAAGCCTTGAACGATCATTTGAGATCATCCTCATCACTTACTGCCTTCCCTTATATCGCTGAGTATTGCTTAATTCTTGTTCATCATTTCTCGTTTTGATTAATTAGTTAAACTTTCTCTACTCATATTCGCCTATGAAATGGAACATACTGTGCCGTTTTCTTCCACAGCAAAAATTACGTTGCTGTCTGCGTCTCAATTTAGCACCTTAAAATAACGTTTTAAGTGGAAAAAATGGCTGAATCGAAAGCGCAGATTCAGTGTCTTAAAATGAAATTGTATGGTGAGTGCATCGGGCGAAAAATCGGAAATCGCAAAGTGCAGCGAAACCAGAAAGAAAATTTTGCCAGAATCCCCATCTTTGCAGCATTTCCACAGCGCTTAACTGCAAGAGAGTTCCGCAACACATTTGCAGGGCCCCTCAAGTTCGGCGGAAACCCTGCGAAAATGCTGCTGAAGTTCCGGCCGATTGTAAGTGGATTTAATGCCTTTACAGTAAGGAAAAATGGGAAGTAATGATGACTGTGATCATGTCAATAATCTAGCTATAGATAGACGTCATAAATTTAGAAAGAGCAATAGCTAGACGTTTCTTTGGGAAAGCTCACTTGAATTCAGTTCAAAAGCTGTTCCGGTAAGACATCAAAATCCATTTACCTGAATGATGATCTTTCGATTTTCATTCACCACTAAGTCCGCAAGCGAAGTTGGCGTGGTCTGTTTCTTGCCTCTGTAATGCTGACGTTTTCCAATACTTTCTTGGAAAAAAGGAAATAATTACGTTTTGACAGTGAGTACAAGAGCAGGCATGCGGTCAGAGTCCATAGTTGAACCTTGCATCAGATTCATCATCGCCAGCTCAGCCATATTGCATGTGTACTCCTGCAAAGAATATTTGGATCTCAAAATGTGCTCAGACTCAAAGAGTGATTTCTAGCAATTAAATACAAATTCGAGAGGTGCAATAAAAATCTGTCAATTATTTATAACTAGCTGGCTTACCCGGCTCCGCCGTATCCGGACCAAACTTGGCACACATACACTTCGGGCCCCGGCGGGTGTCACAGTCCACTTTTCATTATCGATCGATGTCGATTTTACCGATTTTTATCGATTTTTTTGCAGAGTTCACCTACAGGGCTAGGAGTTGGCACAGGGGGGGAAGTGAGCATGGGGATTCCGAATACAATATTAGTTTTCAGAATTATCGATTACTTTTATCGATTTTATCGATTTTTTGAAAATTTGAGCTAGGGGGCTGGAATTTGGCACAGGGGTGTAATCGAGCATGCTGATCATCCCCCTTGGGGGATAAAAGTAATCGATAATCCTGAAAACCAATATTGTATTCGGAATCCCCATGCTCGATTACCCCCCTGTGCCAACTCCCAGCCCCGTAGGTGAACTCAGCAAAAAAATCGATAAAATCGATAAAATCGATATCGATCGATGACGAAAAGTAGCCTATGACACCCGCCGGGGCCCGAAGTGTATGTGTGCCAAGTTTGGTCCGGATCGGTTCAGAAATGGAATTTTCTATTCGGAACATACGTACAGACAGACATACATACATACAGACAAACAGACATTCAGCTTTATATATAAGATGAAATATAAAGTAAAAATTCTACAACAACAAAGTATTACCAGTTTGCTTATATATTTTTGCAGCAATTTCCTCATTCGGAAGTTGAACAATGACAATTTAATTTCTCGTTGTCTGTAAGGCATCGACTTGCACTTGTATTCAGCTAGTTGATCATAGGAGGACACTGCGGTCAGAACCTTGAATTTGAGTTTTTAAGAAGTTTTACCAAATACAAATTAAGATTAAAATTGAAACTTACAACAAGGAGTAAGCAAAACTGTTTCATTTTTGTTTAATCATTCTCATTCTCGCTTTAAATACTCAAAGCAAATCTGCGTAAGCCTTCACTAGTAGTCCTTTTCAAAGCATTAACGTGCTAACCTTACGTCATATACATGCATCCACGCTAGATGTAGAGACTATCAATGGTATCTGTTGTCATTCAAAATGTAGTCCTTTGCAAAACACGGATTTTTCTATTCTTTTCCCTCTCTCTGCAGACTGTGGATTTTTCGGCTCTTTTCCCCTGCGCCTCCAATTTGAACTTTGCATAGAATAACAGTGGGAGCGCCACCGGAAGCCCTTAGAATTTATTTAATTGGCAGATAAAGAGCGTCATTTCACCACAGACTTAATTGAAAGTAATTACTTTGATTTTGATTACTACGTCTTTCTTGCCCTCCATAAATTCTGCTGGCTTAAAATAGCTATTAGAAAACACTTTATAAAAAGCTTACCAGTCCTAGAAGATCATATGACCCATTTTCAGCTGCTTGAAAATTTGCCCGTTTCTCAGTGGTATAGTTCGTTTATGAAACCGTGACGATGGATTCCACTGCGGACTTTGCGCCCACAGGAGTATGAACGCTCATACAAGAAGGCATCGCCTCAATGTTCAACTCATTCGCTTCCAGTGTCTGAATATTATCACAGGTGAGCAAAAAAGAACATTCGACTAAAGATGAAAAGAAAATGCGATTTCCGGAAGTGCGTGCATCACATATTTTATTACAGGGACTTCTAAATAGGCCATTGCCACAGGTCCAGCCGAATTTGACCCCCTCCACGCTGAGAAAAAATTCGCTCAAAGTGGCGCGCGGAGAGCGATTTGGTACGCGCGGACGACTCCTTCGGTCTCCCCCCTGACGTGTTTGAATGTTGCTGCCACTGGCTGAGGCTAAAGTTGGAAGGTACAAACTCGTCCACGCTGCTTCCGCGGGGCCTCCATAAAACGGGGTTTTTGGGAACTTCGTGCGATTTTAGGCCCATACAGTGATAGGCAGGTTCCGACAGGCTTGCAAAATGCAAAAAACTCGGCAACTAAATTTTGGTGAGACACTGCCTTTAATTAGCGTGCTTTATATCCTTGAATCAGGCATCGAAAAGTACAAGAAGAGTTTTTATTCTTCTTGATTTGGAGAGTATATGCGTGAACAAGTTGAAAACCCACAGATTTTCTTTCGAGAAGATACAAATTTTTCCAGATTTCTACGGTATCACCAACTTTTCAGAGTTTGGCCTCAAACTTCACGTAGAACGGATCTCATGTGTATGAGTAAATGCCGTTTTGTAGAGCTTGTTTGCTCTATCGTATTATCTTGAAAACTATTTAAAATGTGGGAAGGCTATAACTTACTATGGTGATAAAACATTTGCAGAAACAATGGGACAACCTAATACATTAAACCTGGTAGTTTGAATCTAAATTTTCTTATTCTGCTCTCATAAGCAGACTCTCATAATTCAACTGGTAGCTCTTCTGCTGTTGCAACATTTATATGACCTTATAAGTCCGCTTGCTTTGCTTAGAGTTAAAAGAATATATCGAATGAAACTGCATAATTATATTTTACCCGAGGTCCCCAGGAAGAATTAATTGCCACTAGCGCCCTACAGGCTATCCAGCTTCTTACAAAGAACATTCGCGAACGGGGTCGGCACGCTTGTTTACGCCGCTGAAAGAGGCGTAGCACGCGGTGCTTTTGTGAAACATTCGCGAACCCTCGCGAATGGGGCAGCGATGCTCTATAAAATGGTAAAGCAGAATATTTAGAGAACAGGTTACTTCTGTGATTAGCCCACTATGTCGCTTTCGCTCTGGCAAGTTCCTCTCATGATGGATCGTTTAATGGACGGTTACACCCATAAAGTGGATCGCACTCTACATCCGTATTGGAAGAATGCTGATCACTCTACTTTACATGTGGGTAAAGAGATGCAGGTAGGTTTACTTCGTTTATTTTTTGATGTTAAAGCTGATATACTATATAGGTAATCGACGACGAGAAAAGATTTTTCGTGTCACTGTATGTGTCGCAATTTCGTCCAGAAGAGCTGAGGGTGCATTTGGATGGCAGAGAGCTAAGTGTGGAAGGAAAGCAAGAACATAAGATTGAAAATAACCTCATCCACAGGTACCAGAGTCTTATTCATGGAAAACTATAACTAAGTTTCTGAATTGCAGATCGTTTATTCGCAAATGGACGCTTCCGGAAAGTGTGGACTTAAAATCTGTACATACGCAGCTCACCCACAAAGGCCATCTCTGCATTGAAGTACCCAAAAAGGATCCGAAAAGACCTGACAAAAGGAACATTCCAATTGTGCCCTATCCAAGAACTAGGGCTTAAATGTACATAAATTCCATCTATCTGTTCAACGCATGCCAGTAATTTTATCATCGATATATATAATGTCTTTTCCCGCTCTATGCTGGTATTATTATATGATTTTGACAGTTTTAGCAGTGCTTTATAACTTTGTAAGGAATGCAACATATCAATTTGTGAATTAGTGTGATTTATACTGACTGCTTTCAAGTGTGAATTGTTTGTCTGTGAATAAAATCTTGATTTCCTGGTGCTTCCATACATATGTACGAAGTTCTGTGACATTACTGAACAGAGATCGTGCTGAGAGTCTGGGTAAAACCTTTAGATACTGATATTCTTGTAGAGCGAGTTCACGTCATTCTACGCATACAGATGAGAGGAGGACATCTAACCCTACTCATGTGGCAATGAAAGGCTAAGGATTGCTTTTCTCAGAGAATGGCCTCCAATACAATCCTTTCTTGGCACCTACAGTTTTCTCCGTTCATATTCCAGTAGCACTCCCAGATTTCGGTCCGTGGGTGGAGGAGGAGGGGGGGGGGGAGTGGCAAATAAGTTTTTCAAGTGAAGGTCGTGACGTTAGCCACGCACTCCGGAAAGTTTTTGGGATGCTTTTCAAAATTTTTGAGTCCCCGTAACTCCAGAATTCTAGAAAAAGGAGAAGTGGCGTCAACCACGCCTCCTGAAAAAGTTTTCAAAGGCTAATTCTATTAGGCTGATGCATAATTCCTGCACCAAAATAGGTACAGACCGCAATAACTCGGAATAATCGTATATCCCAAGTAGGTTTCGATAATCATTAGATAGAGCAAACCTAGCTCTACAAGATAGTGACTAAAGTTTTGCAGCAGCTTTGATCAAAGCGAAGATTGAAGCCAAAAACGAAATAGATCCAAGCTCCCCAAAAAACCAAGAAAAAATTGAAAGTCAGTTCGGAAAAATTCTTTAGAATTTCTAACTTGCTCATGCATTGTTATTTCGTATAAGACATTCCTCTATGCAGTTGCTGTATTTTTCTCTCAGCTAGAAATTGAGAAAACGAAGTTTTTCATGTTTTTTCCAAAACGATGCTGAGATGTTCTAGCGCTGGCAGTATACTATGGGACCTTTGAAGCGTAAATGTGAATTTTCAGCTTTTTACAGCAGCTAGTTTACGAGAAATATGTATCGAATTTTTTGCAACTAGGCAAGAAAAACTCGGATGAAGAGAGCTAGATCCGTCATTTCTCGTGAAGTAGCTGTTCTAGAATGCTGAAAATGTAAAGTTTCACTGTTAATGGCATGTACTATACAACTGTTAGTGTTAGAACATCTCAGCACTAGTTTGGCAAAAACATGAAAAACTCCGTTTTCTCATCGTTTAGCTGAGAAAAAAATACAGCAACCTCATAGATAGATGTGTTACGTGGAATGACTACGCGTGAGCAAGAAAGAAATTTTGTAGGAGCTTTTTGACGAAGTTACAATTTTGTTTTGATTGGTCTTAAGGTTTTCGGACGCATGGTTTTTTTTCAATTTTCGGCTCAAAACTTCGCGTGGATCAAAGCTGGTGTAGATATTTGAGCACTATTTTGTAGAGCTAGGTTTGCTCTATCTAATGATTTATCGAATCCTACTTGGGATATAGGATCATCCCGAGTTATTGCGGTCTGTACCTATTTTGGTGCAGGAATTATGCATCAACCTAATAATTTTGTAAGAATTTTAAAAATGCTTCCAATTTACAAGAATAGACAAGTTACTTGCACATTTTTATTCCTCCGCATATTGATTGGAAAAATTTACATTCTTTGACTGTGTAAAAGCGTAGGAAGTTGTTTCACGAACTGGCTATTTGTCCCATCGCAACCGATTGCAGGACAGAGAAACAATTGAAAACTTAATTGCCAGTTTATGTTTTGACAATAAATAGTGTGAATTGCATGGTTGTGGGTAGTGAAGCGTCGCTTCATTTTGGTCGTGATGGGGAGGCATTGTGTTTTGCTAATGTGTCTAACTGTAACTTCTATCGCAGTTTCGATCACAGGAGCAAAGGGCATATCCAAGGCCTCTCAAATCTAGAAAAAATAATCTCACTGTTTTCTCTGAAATCTCCACTTTCTACAACTTGAGCATTGAAGGCTGTATTTGCTCTACCATTCAAGAAAATAGTGGTGCTGCTTGATAAATGAAAAGAGATTTATGTAAAGTCGTGATATAAGGCTAGGCGAATGCTTCAAAAGCATTTTAGCAGCTGATTATAGGTGTGGAGTTGCTGCTAGGTAGTAGCAATAATCTTGGTGCCTTGATGCCAGGGCAGGTGCGGTGTAGGGTTTGGTTCCAAACAAGATTCCCGTTACGCGCTGCCACATACAATCAAACTCTACCGGGCGCACAAAGAGAAACCTAAGCCACCATACCGTGTTTCGCCTCAATTTCAGAACAAATTTCTTGTTTCCTTCCGGCATCATGATTTGTCTCTGTAATAGTGCTATGGTACAAGCGGGCAGGAGGCGGGGGGGGGGGGGGAGAGAGAGAAGAGAAAAGCTCGAGAGGCGCGCTTTCTCTAAAGTCACTAAATCAAGAACGCGACTCAGAACTAAGAAAGTCTTTTTAACACAGCACACACTATTTTCTAGCTCAAAACTATCTTAGGTTATCAACTGAATTTGACGGTTTTGGTGGGAATTGGTTGAAATATTCTGAGATTATCTTTAGTAGCATTTTCACGGCTTTCTATACTAACATTGATATTTTGAGACTAGTCATGCAGTAGTCTTTTATTCCCAAGAAATTGGAAAGGCTTTTAGAACATTATTGAAAAACCAAAAATGGGCTATTCGGTATCATTATGCAATAAAATCGGGCCTTCTGACTTACACACACCCAGGATGGAGGAGGTCTACTATACATATTTGTTTTTTTCAACCCATTATGCCTAAGACACTGGAAAAACTATGCGCTTGAAGTAGTTGGATTGCTGATATAACGCAAGTAAGTGAATGCGGCTATTATATAACATTTTGGTACTTTTCGAGGTATACATTTCCAAGATACAGCAAATAATAACACGAGCAAATCTTGCAATAAGTTTGCTCCCTAAATTTCTACCAGCATAATCCGCTTCCAAATAAGAAGGCAGGAAGACATGAAGATTTCCTGGCTTTGTCAGAATGTATGCCCATTACAAGTGAAGATGAATACTTCAATCCTCAAATTTAACCCTGATATTTCTATAAGACAAGCGCGTGTATCCTACCAGATTGCATTTAACGCGCACACAATTAGAAGTGAGCGGACGGGATTTGAAAAAAAGTATATCAGAATTTTAAAGTCGAACTGATGCTATGTTATACGTCGATTAGCGAAAAAACCAGAAGTTGCTTCTGCGTATGACTTTCGCAAACATAGACTCTTATGATGTGATACAATCCAAGTGCCGATAATTCATTTATTTGTACATACAAATATAACTATAGTGGAACTGATCGATTACATCATATGAGATCAAGTCGCCTATTTGTCTCAAAGCGTGAAGAATTATGGTTTCTTCACCTCTTCATTCTCCTTCACAGGTGGCATTGCTTTCTGGATCTCGATGATCCTTGAGGTAGGGGACTTTCTCGATATCTTTGGTGCTTCAACGGCAAGGTAACCGTCTTCGGTAAAGGTAGATTTTAGCTGTTTCACATCAACTTTTTTAGGAAGCGTCCATTGTCGAACAAAAGTTCTGAAATAAAACTGTTTTGATTGAGTTTATAGGTGACACAATAAAAAGAAGACATACCTCACGGTGTAGCCATTCTTTTCCTTGATCTCCTGCTTGCCTTCGATCTTGAGCGTTCTTCCATTCAGATTTACTGACAGTTCTTCTGGCTTGAACTGCTTCACATTTAAGGAAATCGATAGCTTGGAATCGTCATTCACTACCTAAAAACGTCTTTTTATAATCGCAGAATAAATTGTGTTTAATGCAACTTACCTTATCAATCTAACCAGGAAAGCCATTCTTTTCAAGCAATGCTGCTTTTGATGGCCTCAACGCTTGCTCTATGCGATGCTTGTCTCAGCTCCCGACCGCTTTTATGTAAGCGCCGCATCTCGCGATTATTCGCGAATATTCGCGAGGGAGCGCCTTCGCTCGCTCTTCTCTCGGTGTAAACAAATGGCGGCCCCGCCCCTTTCGCGAATGTTCCGCGCTATTCGGAGCGATGCGGTCCCGCATCTGTCACAAATGGCTCCACAAGATTGAAACAAAATGAAAGTATTTCGATTTTACCATTGTAATACATACACTTTGACTGGACATTGCTGCCCAGACGGTGCATCACCGCAGATGAATAAACTTCGACGAATGAAGGACCTTTTTGTTAGACCTATCAAGACTATCAGTGATATTAGATACAATGCCGCCAGAAAGAAAGTTTCTCTCGAAGTGTTTTTTATATCTGGGTCAAATTAAAGTATCTCAGCGCGCTTTCCCATTTTTCCTTACATAATCATCGTGTGCATGACTATGAACTTAAGTACGCGTAATAACAGGGATGAGGAAGGCAACGGTTTGAGCCTGATCACGAGACCTTTTTATTTTGTTATGATTTGCCGATATCATTTTATTTTTGTGACTGATTTTTAACTTACTCCATTCGCTTACAATCTAGTGCTTTGATAGTCGACAAAGAAGTATGGTTATAAATCAAATATACATAGGACTACTTTTGTTAAACATGCTGTACTATATTTTGAATGTTGTTTTTTCAGTTAACACTACTTACAATTTTTACGAAAATCCAATTCTCGAGTAGCTTAGCATCCGGGTATGACTGTTCATCCAACTATCCTTTGTCATCTGCTGGTAGTATCATAAAAACAGATTTTGTAGATGCCGTGTTTTACTTCTTGATCTTGTGATTTTTAAATGGGAATGTATCAGGTCACTCCGAGTCCGCCTTTTTTTAGCAAGTTTCAAAGTATGCAAAATGACGACTGAGAGAAATTAAGAAGCAATATAGGGCATTCGAAAAATCGTGAGATGGCGCGACCGCACGCAGCACGCACGCATTTCTAGCAACCGCATTTTCTTGGTATCTATCTCAATCTGGACGATTTTTCTGTTTACATATGATAGTATTCACACACTGGAAGTGACTGAACTGACAGTTGAGGTGATGCCTCTCAATATGGGTATTTCATGCTCTTGTGTGCGCAAAGACCGCAGTCAAACCCAGCTTCACGTTTTTATGAATGACCTATACGACTCGTCCTCTTTCAGCACCTCAAGTAGAATACAGATTTTCTTCAACATTCCTGCAAAAATCGGTATATATGTTTGTCTTTGTTCAATCTCAAATTCTTCTCCTCTACGAAACGAACTTTTATAGAGCGAAAATCACACATGACCGGAGCAAATTACGTCATACAAAGCTTAATTCTAGATTTCCTAGCATGAAGTTTTGTTTTGAGGAATCTAAGATTTTCGGACTAAAAAGCATTCAAATCAAAAAAACAAAATGCTATTTTTTTAGGATTGCTTGAAATATAGGTTTTGTCTCCAGCATCCTACGATTTTTTGAACTGCTGTTCAGAAAACGAAGAGAGCCAAATAATGGGCCAGGAAAAACTGCAACCGCAGCGAACAGAAAAAAAAGCAATTCCACTAGGAAATCTCTTCCATAGCTTGTAATTATAGACACAACTGTTTGCGAAATTATTATAGTTTTATTGCTCTTCATCAAGAAAATATGCCGAATAACTGATTAATAAACACACAATGAACAAGATCAAAACATGAAGAGTGAAACATAAATAGATAGAAACAATGCATCGACGCATTGTTCAAAACATGCTTTGAATCCAGTCCTCAGGATCTTGTCTATGCGCTGTCCGAAGTTGGCTTCACTGCAATTTTTGGAGCTTCCACAGCAAGATGTCCATCTTCAGTTATTGTGCATTTCAGCTGATCTGCATCGACATCATCAGGATGGGTCCATTGTCGAACAAAGCTTCTAAAAATGAGCTATGAAGAAGTGAATGGACTAGTCTGAACAGAACACAGTTTCGCCATCAACACACCTCATAAAAGATCCATTGCTTTCTTCGTTTTCTTGCTTTCCTTCAATCGTGAGCACACGTCCATCTACATCCACCGATAACTCTTCTGGAGTAAATTGAGCAACATTCATCGATATGGTCATTTTATACTTGTCATTCACCACCTACAAAGCATCTCTTTCTTATTTATTTTGGTTGTCAAGAAAACTCACCTCAACCAGATTCCCGACTGAGTCAAAATTTCCACGCGAAACAGCTTCTCGTAAAGGCGCCAGGGCTTGCTCCACATCGTTCATAAATTTCTGTTCACGATCTGGGACTCGAACTTCTGGCAGAAAGCAGCGCGACATAACGGTAGTGTAACATATATAGAACTATCGCTAGTGTTCGCGATGTCTTCGCTTTCCTTCGCAAACGTACGGGAGATATGCGCCGCGCCCCCATATGAAAGGGTAAACAAAGGGGGTTGCACCGCTTGTTCGCGAATGTTCGTCAGCTTGACGTGTGCGGCCTACTGTAAAATGTGAATCAAGGCAGAAGGCAAGAACAGGGCTCGGCACGAGGTGGCTAGGTGAAAGTGGAAAAAACGAAGTCCCCTTGACTTTTGGGAATTTTTACGAAGTCCCCTTTGACTCCCAACCAAATTTCCTCTAAAAACCTGAAAAATTCCCCAAAATTCCAAAAAAAACGGAACGTCGACTAAAAAAAATAAAAAAAAACGTCCTCAAGTCGCCAATTTTGCGTCTCTCTTCGGTCACAAAAACTAAACCCCCTTTGCTTTTCGTCCCAGAAACGATATCCAGCTTGCTTGTAAGCCACCTGTGTGCCGAGCCCTGGGCAAGAATCTATGGAGACCATGGTAATCTCGTAAAGCAATGACTTCTGTTCAGATATCCATCTAATCAATGTCAAAAAGTCGATTTAAGCTCTTACTGCAATATTTAGTGGAAGAATTCAGTCAAAATCATTATATCAAGTTGATGCAAGAAAATAATGTCCGTCTCTTCAAGGTTTCACTCTTAAGATCTATAACTTTTCGCAGTATTCGGATTTTTGAACGTAGTCAAGATCATCGAAGCAGTAAGCCTTTCGTAACCTAACGCATACCTGCACAACCGATATCGCGACCGGGAAGGAAACCGTGAGTCAAAAAAGCCGAAAGTTTCTCTCCTGGAAAACGTTTTTGAGAAATGACAACTCTTTTTAACTTCGGTTACTAAATCAATGTAAATATATGTGTATGTGTATAGAAAAAACTTCAAAGACGGACTTTTGCGAAGTGAAAAAGATAAAAGACCAAAATGGTTCACTTTCTTCAGCCTATTTGTGGCAGGCCTGAAAGTCCTAAATCATGATAATTTAGAAAACTTCAAATGAATAGCTAAATTCTGTAAAAATTGTAAGCAGAATGCCTTCTCAAAGTTACAGAAATGAGCTTTTCCGAGATTGCCGTAATTACAAAAATTTTTGATCCAGATAATGCAGCAGCGAGTATCTACTTTGTTGCATCGATTTCTCAGTCCAAATATTCTCGAAAGATTTACTCAAGCATGCAAAAAGTAAACAATGTGTCCCATACAATAGCTATGTTCTCAAAAGAATTCGTTCGCTCGCCTGAATTGTGGGTCAAGAAAGCGAAGGCTATGATATCTCAATTTTGAGTGCGAGTTTGCAAAGTTCTGGTGAAATTCTCATGGATGAGGAGAGAAGCCCAATTGCATCATTTTTGGGAAGTACATGAAGAAAGCTTTCAATTATATGCAAAACTTATATTAAAAAAACTTTGTTAGAAAAAAGCTGTTTGGAAATTAGGCCTAGAAAACCGGACTTTATTTTCGCACCAAATACCACACCTAATAAAAACTGCATCCGATGAGCTAGTAAAAATAAAAAAATTATCATGTCCTGTGAGCAATGGTTTGAGAAACACTTCAAAACATCTATAACTCCCCGATGCTTGAAAGCTAGGAGCGCTGTATGGGCATAGGGTCATTTCTTCAGCAACACCTCGCGATTGTTCCTCATTGTTGAGAAATAGCTTCCACCTTTGATTATGACAGAATTTAGGTTACTATTACACATTAGTTGACCCAAAGAATAAAAACCTCGGATTTCGCTGGAACTTCCTCAAAAGCGTTTATTTTGCTCGCTGCGCACGGTAGTGCCGTCTGGTGGAGTTACGTAGGGCCGGTGCGGGGTCAACACCACACGTACGGTAACACCATTTTCTCGGGGTAAACAGTGGGTATACGGTAGATGGCTAAAAATCTCGAATTTGCTAAAAACTTGCTTATAGAAATTCCTATGCAAGCTGATTACGAATAACATGCTCTTTTTGCGTTTTGAAAATTTTTCACGAAATTATGATAGGTGTACGGAATGGGTAAAGATCCGCTCGGAGCTTTGTGCAGAGGTGTTACTCGACGTGCTGATCACGTATGTCACGCTCGTCTCGCGCGATAAAGCTTTTTTATGGATTTGGTATCTAAATTTGATTGAAAATAAAGAAACATCTCTTTCACGCAGTGTAACTCATCGTAACTCTAATCATAAGGCAATGTTGCAGAGAACAAGCATGATAATTGCAATTAACATGCTTAAGAACCCCGTCAGACAAGATTTTGAACAAATTGGGATTTGCGGCCATCTTACGTGGACCCACCGTAACCCCAAAAAATGACGCTACGGTACAAAATAAATATGATAATCATGTTCAGCTTACCACGTAACCTCCTAGACGAGTTTTGGGGCGAATCCGTGATTTTGTCCCCCTACCGTAATCCAACCGTAACACCACCGATGGCAACACTGTGCGAAATAAATGGATTCGTAATTAGTGTGCAAAACGACTCCTTAGTAGATTCAGCGAAGTCCGGGATTTTCTTCTTTGGGTCAATCAATGTGGTCTAGCGCCGAATTTAGTAAGTCTACCTGGGTTGTAAACAACTGGGCACATTGGTAAAAGGAACAGCTCCTATGAGATATTCAACCCTTTTGGCCCAAATCCTACTCAAGGTTGGGTGATCGATCAGTAGTTACGAGCAAACATTGGAGTTGAATTTCTTAATTTAGTTTACGTTAAAAACAAGGTTTTGCGTAAGAAATCAAGTGTAGGGGGTTTTTTACATTAGAAATTCACAAAACATTCAAGCATCACGTTATCCTTTGATGTGGACGAGGCTAAAGCTGGTAAATCTTCAATTATTCATAGAGCTTCATGCGAATTTCGTTAATAACCTTAGGCCTCGGCAGAGTTCACGCGATATCATCATAGCGATAAATCGCGACAAGACAACTGTTACGAGTTCATCGCCTGCCGATTTTCTTATATCCGGTTGTGATAACTGATCACGATTAGTCGTGTCGGAAAACTATCACAATCGAGATCGGCATGCAGTGATGATATTATTACAGTCGTCTTGTCGCGATAAATCGCGACGATGAAATTGCATGAACTCTGCCCGAGGCCTTACTTAATTTACTGTAGCATCGTGATCTAGAGGGCAATAAGAATTCGGCACATGTGGCCCATGAGTGTTGCTTTACAAAGCTGATATCGCAAACTGCTTTTAAGGAAATGCTTAATGGCAAAAAAGCTGAGCAGCAATCCATTGCCGTAATGTAAAGTAGATGAGTTCCACTACTGACGAGATGCTAACACGACATTGTTTGAGCGCTGTAGGCCCCTAGTTCGTATCTTACGGTGTATGAATCCATAGAACAGGAGCTGTAATACCTGTAATTGGGAGACAAGCTGAGAAAAGAAAGGCAGGTAGGGCGATGTAAAGATTGACGAGAAAACAGGGTGCATTCGGATAACTCAGGTGAAGACGAAATTATTGAAAAAACCGTCAAGGGAGAACCTCAAGCGTACGCTTGTCTTGCTCGCTTCTAGATGGGCACCATGTCGTATGCCTTTGAACAACAAAACGTCGTATACTCGGACAGAAATATGCCGCATAAATGCTAAAAAAACTATAACTAAAAATCTGCTCTTTTCCCACTGAGAAGGCTTTTCCGCCCACTCTCGAAAACGCTCCTTTGCGACATAGATTATTCTCTAATAATCTGTCCTCCTTACTTGGATTCTAGTTTTTCGATCAGCGTATATCTTTTACTGATATTGAATGTAAAACAGATATAGCAGTACATGTTTATTTACAAATACAAGTCGAATATGGACAAACACTGACAAATCCTGAGCCATTAAACATATAGAAATTTTTTTTTCAAATATTGAGACAATCAAATCAGTTAGATACCTAAAAGATTAAGGCGCTTTTGATGAACCGTATAGGAAAACGAATTTTGAGAAAATCAGATCAATACCAGAAAATTCTACTACATATTCAGAAGTTATAATATTATACTTACACTAGTGACCACAGAGCCACATGAGTAAATACTAAACGATTAGATTAGCTATTGCAAAGCTTCAATTGGAGCACATCTAGTTCTTCGATGGAGCAGCCATAATCGGATGTTTCTCCTATTTGGTCTTTCCTGATCTGCCTTGGGAGCTTCAACGCAGAGGCGTCCCTTGTCGCTGAGCTGCGTACGCACGGATTCCAGATCTACGGTTTCCGGAAGAGTCCATTTGCGAATGAACGATCTATAATGAGGAATTTGGTCTTCAATAAGAAAGATAAAATAAATGTTTCCTTACCTGTGAATGAAGCTGTGTTCACCTTTGTGCTTCTGCTTTCCTTCTACAGTAAGTTCCCTGCCATCGAGGTGCACCTTCAAATCTTCAGGGCGGAACTGTGAAACATCGAGTGAAACAGCAAATTTTTTGTCGTCGTCGATTACCTAAACCAGTCAACAAGAGACCCCTGCGACGCTATGGTAAACAACAGCATGCCCGCCTCCTTCGCGAATATTCTTTGAGTTATCGCAGCTCGCTGGCTCAGACTGCAGCGTTATCTGTAATAATTAAGTAAGAACTTAACGAATAGATTGATTTGACTCGAAGATTTCACCAAAAACGGTCTGAGAAATCTGGAAGGAAGTGAAGATTTATCTTTTGAGTTCAGACGTCATCCACTGCTCGAAATTTTCTTGGTTTGCTTTTCAGACTTCTTGCGGGTTAATAGCAATCAGTTAGAGTTAGCGGAGGCGTGTCGTGTAATTTTATTCCGAGGCTAACTTGAATTTCCTAATTTTTTTAAAAGTCGTTTCATTTTCTTACATGTAAAACAAGTAATTTCAATTCGTGGAAACTAGATTCTGATATTTTGCCACACTTACCCTAAATATCATTCGAAAAATTATTGCAATTTCAAATTCCTCCCAAGGCTACTGAGACTCACCAGCGCGCTATTTTACTTGTAAATTTTGCCAATCTATATATCAATAGAATGGGCTTGGGCACTCATTCGGCTTGGATTAAGACTATTCGCTTTTCTTACGAAGACCATGCACTGCTTGCTGAGACTATTACGATGATATTCGAGAACCTTTACCGTTCTTATAAGGGGATTTAGGTGCAGCAGTGCCAAACCACTATAATCGATCATTATGTATATAAAAGGTTGAAGATGCAAAAGTCCTTTTTCTGAGACTCGCTGGTCATCTTGTTGAAGGTCTAGCCAGTGCTAAAGATACTCGACAAGGAAGGCTGCAGACGATATCCAAATGTCCAAACCATCAGCAATTTTATCTAATGTCACTGCTTTTTCTAACATTTACTGGTTTTATGATCTTCTATTTCATGTCAGAAGAATTCATTCAAATGAAACGTTTAATATCAGATACATTCTGGAGAAACAAAATGGGTGACAACAGTCTATCTGCGATTCCTTCCCCGCGAACGTTCGCGAATTGGGGCGGAGCAGCTATTGTTTACGCTGGGAACAGCGGCGCTCCGCGAATATTCGCGAAATCTCGCGAACCTTCGCAGAAGAGGCCGTACTCGCTATATAAAGACATCTGCGGCCGAGATCAGTCTAGTTGCTCTGTGCACTCAGCGCTATGGCTCTCTACTTCCTTCCACCACAACCACGCTTCGCTCGTCGAGGTCTCTTCGACAGCATTCTCGAAGATCTCGACCGTATCGAGTCTGCAATAGTATCAATGCTAACAGCGGTTTCGCACAAGCGAGAAGAATGTGCTGGAAAATTAGCGAAGGTAAGTTTGCAGATTTTCCTATTCTCGCATAATCAAAAAAAGTTTTTCAGGTTACTGACGACGATTCCAAGCTAGCTATCTCTTTGAATGTCGCAAACTTCAAACCAGAAGGGCTATCAGTTGATTTGGATGGAAGAATTCTTAAGGTACAAGGCAAACAGGAAATCAAGGAGGATAACGGCTATTCTATGAGGTAGGTCAAGTTTGTAAAGTTTGTTTACATATGGCTTCGCAAAATCTTATATCTTTGGTTCTAGAACCTTCGTTCGACAGTGGATGCTTCCTGATGACGTCGATGTTGAGCAACTCAAATCCTCTCTGACTGAAGATGGTCACCTCGCACTAGAAGCACCCAAAATTACGAAGAAATCGCCAACCACAAGGAGCATCCAGATAGAAAAGGTACCCGCTGCCGTAAAGGGAAACGAAAATCATCAGCAATAACCTCTCTCATTTGTATACCTTGTCACTATCTTTCTTTTTTGTACTTACTTGTTTGATCAAAACGCGTATGTATATCTATCTACTGTGATGTGCATGTCTCATACATTTAATTTAATAAATAATTTGCATTTAATGTCAAAATCAAAAGAGCAGCTTCCGCTTAAAACACACAGCTATATCTCTTTTAATCCTACTGTAAGATGAAATATTAAAAGACATTGAATATATAAATATGAGGTTATGCAACGAACTTCTACCGTTTCCGCTTCCTCAAAGATTGTCCGAGGCAAAGCGCCTCAGCAGGAACAGAATGCAAAAATACATACATGAAATGCTTTTCCACAGTAACTGTTGTTGGTTGTTCAACCAGTTGAACTGGTGTTTGTCGGCTGGCGTCTTAATAAAGACCAAAGGTTTCCTACTTTGTTATTTTTTTCTCTCACTACTCCTTTCGGGAAAATATCCAAAAGTCGTATCTGCAATTCTATCCTTACAGACATCACTACGCTTTAGCATGAAAGATTGCTAGAAATGCTAAACACTCTAGGACGGCTTCTGTAAGTCTCGTTAGCAGTTTTTTAGTCGTCACAAGAACTCTTGTTGACAAGTTCGCTACATTGCGAAAGAATATTTGGAACCATCAATATCTTCAGGAAGCATCAACCTTTGCAGGGCCTATTCGAAAAAGAATCATGATTTGTATTTTTCATTTGACAGTCCCAACATTTCCGCAACTGAATGGTTCGTGCGCGAAGGACGATGACTAATCCAGCTGCATATAAAATGCGACTGCGTTCTTATTGTCGTTAAGATCACCTACTCATTTATAAACAAGCAATAAGGGGATCATGTGCGTGTCATGTGCAGAGCTCAAGCAACAACGAAATATTGATTCCAGACTACCGAATTAGTGCAGTCTGACCCCAGTTGCTATCAAAATTCGGAAAACTGTCGCCCATTTTGCTTCCTATCCTGCCTAACTTCTTACGTTCATTAGTTTTCGAAAAGCACATTATGATTTTGAACAATATGAAGGTTAGGAAAATACGATAATGTAACCTGTCAATTCTATGGGGATTCGCTTGAAGGCAGTAGCTCGGAAAATCTCAACATAGCCAAATTTGCGCTTACCTGGGGTTTTTCAATACGCTGATCCCGAAAATCCACTTTGAAAGCTTGAAAACGGCGAAAATAAGCGTTTTTTTAAAAACCCTTCCCTTTGGAATTGGACGAGTGGAGCAAGATGACGTTAAATCGTTGCAGCCCAAAGGTTATAGCGTTGCGGCGGGCTGCCTTCAATGGTGAGAGGGAAATTGCCAACTCATCCAAATGGTAAGAATGACCTGCTCGTATAAGTTTGAGAGCGATTTTCTCGGCAGGGAAAGCATGCTGTGCAACCGGGATTGCACTGTTTTCATACTTGAGCGATAAGGAACCTAACGCGCTAAAATTCTGAGCTGTTGGGTTTTGCCGATCCACTGCCTTTAAACCTCACCTTGTGAATGCTTGTTTTTGAAAATAATGTTTTTGCCTCTGGAAATAGAAAAAACAGGGAAAGCTACGTCTCGTTGGAAGAAAAGAATGAGTCGATTCATGTGGTAGTACATTTTTCTAACTTTCTAGGAAGATTTTGCTAAATTTCTAGGATTAAATGCTGAATCTCACAAAAACCTGTTAAATACTTACTTTTGGATGCTTTTACAATGCGAAAATATTGTTTTTGTAAAAACAAATGAGCAGAGGGAGCATAGTCTGCTGAAAGGAAAGACCCAACAAATCCACTCGAAAACACATTCCAACTAGACTTTAATGTGAAAATTCACAGAACTTGCTGCATTTGTTTTTGGCGGCCTCTACTTTGTGAAATCCCTACTTTTGCCAATAAAAACAACACAGCAGAGGGAGCTTGTCTTAATGGAAAAAAGAGTGTTCATGCGGCAGGAGATTTTTGATATGATTCTCTAGGTTTCAGTGCTGAATCTCACAAGAAAGGCTTGTAATTCACTTTGGCCGCTTTTATCTTGCGAGAACCGTACTTTTGCTTTAAAAAGCATAAGTCTCGAAGAAAGGAATGCTACAAAAGACTTTATGCGGCAGCCCATCTAGGCTAAGGACTTCTCAGTTTCAATGCTAAATCATGAAAAGCTTGCTTTAAATACACTCTTGAATACCCAGAGGCTTCATGGGACAGAACATTTTTGCTAGGAATGTCCAAGAAAAAGCATTGAGCGAGCTTTGGCCTCACTTCAAGAAATGACCGTATCTTGGCGAGACATAGTAAGGAGAGTATATGTGCATGATAGCGAAGCTTGATGTGTTAGCGGCCGTTGTACAGATCCTGGGTATCAGCCTGAGTTTCGTGTTGAATCAGCTGTTCTACAGAGATGACTGCTGAGGTGATCTTCATGTTTAGCAGCTGTGGTATCTGGGTCGGGTACTTGCAAGAAGAACAGCATAGATGATTTGGGAGTCACCATGAAAAGTCTCCTTGAGAGCATTATCTTACTTCTACTACTATGTACTTACGTTGCCCCAAGAGATCGTTGAGAAAATGGAAATGATCTTGAAATGAAATCTTGAAATGAGCCTAATCTTGCTTCCACTACTACTTGCATTGCGAAAAAGATCATTGAGAAAATGGGAATTCATTCTCTTGCTATTTTTAGTTGCATGCAGACAGTTATCAATGTATCTGCCCCAACCCACTTGCTAGCGACCCGTAGGGTTGTACTGCCACGGGACATTTTTGTTAAGACTTCCTTGTTTTCAAGGCTAAGTTATAAAAAACCTCCTTGAAATCCACTTCAAGCAGAAATTCTTGTGCTCTCAATAGCGGACAAGTAAAGGAGCTTTGCAAGAAGAACAGCGTAGATAATTCGAGAGTTACCATTGTAAAAAGTTTGCTTGAGAGCATGATTTTACTCCTACGACTACATATTTCGCCAAAAATCGTTGAGAAAATTGAAGTCCATTTCCTTGCCATTCTAGGTTGCATGCAGATAGTTATTAATGTATCTGCCCCAACCCACTTAATAGCGACCCCTAGGGTCGGTACCGCCGCAGGACATTTTTCCAAACAATTCCTTGTTTTCAAGGCTAAGCTATAAGAAAATCCTTGAAATTCATTTTAACCGCGCCTACTTCCCGGAAATTGTGCTTTGGTACCCAAAAGCAGAAAAGCAGAGGAGGCTGGTCTCAAAAGAAGGACAGAGCCACGGGCTTCACAGTAGGACCTTTTTGCTCAATTATCCGATAGAAAGCTTCAGCGAGTTTCAGTATCTTTTAGTATCGCTATAAAAGTGCCTTCATACTGCGCCGGCAGCCGCCGCTGGTAGCCCGTAGCAGCCCGAGTAGCCGCCAGCAGCCCGTAGCCGCAGCTGGCCGCTTTTGTCATAGGAGCGCAAAATCTTCAAATTCTTGGTATTTTAAGCGCAAACGCCTACGCTTTCCATCTTCCACGATTTTTCTTCTCTGTTGCGGTTAATCTGCAGTTCCACTTTCACACACTACATAGTCAAGATAAGCACCGGCCAAGGATATAATTGAAGCAGAACTATGCATATAAAATAACACTACAGAAACTGGACGCATCCAAAGTCAGAATCACACCGCAAAGAAACTTTGGCGAAATATGGTTCAGTGCGAAAGGGAAACTGAGCACCATTAGGATAACCAATATACGGCAACAC